TCACGGTTTCAAACGTGACATTTACTAGGAGAGATCGTGACTTGTGTAAGTGATGTTGTGCGTTTTGGGCCGACGTCACGGTTTACCGTTGGATGTCACGGCTGTGACATGCAACTGTGACTTGCTCATTGCTGAGTTCAAAATCATATATGCAACCATTTCTTGAAGGGGACAAATTTTAGAGTGAAGTCAAGAGGGAGAAAGTGACGAACAAGAAACCCTATGTGGTGATTGGAGGCTTCCAACTTCAATTGGAGGCAAGATTCATCATCAAGGGGTGTAGATTGGAGCTCAAGACCAAGAGTCCATTCCCACAAGATGTTTTCTCTCATTGAGTTTGTGATTTCATCTATTTCTCTCACTATAGAGTAGAGTTCATTCTCACATGGGCGTGTAGGTTTCTAGCCGCGTATGTTAGGGTTTGATATTGAATGACTCATATTTTTATTACATTCTTGATTATATATTGAATTGAGGTATTATTCATGAAATTGATTGGGTATTGATCACACTCTTCAATTTGGGCTATTGACCTAAGGTAGAAAATATCCAGTTAGCTGATTAGAACATCTTCAATTTTTCATCGTAGGTCAATTGAGCAAGTGTGATATTGGACTACAATGTTGTATTGGATCGAGATTCTTTAGTGGGAGACGAATTGCACGCCTTAGGTGCTCTATTTGTCGGTTGTGGAACTCTGCCTCAGGGTAGTTCATCTAAGCGGGCTTGGATAACTCGAATAGGGAGTCCAAGCTAGTTTAGAGCTTTTTGCGGTACAAATCTAAAGTGGGCAAGGTAGAGGAAGTCAATATCAACCTAACTTAGGAGTTAGGACTAGAGAGAAGGCCCCTGAGTGATCTTCTCTCAAATGAATTCTAATCAGTCTTTCTTTGCTTTGCATGTTTAGTTGTCAAATCCAAAATACATCTTGTTAGCTAGATAATCATTAGTTCACGAAGTAGCAGTAGACTTAGCGCTCGGATTGATAAATTAAACCTACTTACACTATACTATACTACACCCGCTTTATAATTACACTTGGCAATTAGTTGAGAGAGTAGTCGTAGTCAAGTCAATAATATTAATTGCCCGAATGTTTCATTGCGACAAAATGGTTGATTCGAGATATGTAGCTGGTTGCTTGAGCACAAAACACTTTCAGTGATGGTATTTATTTCAAGGAGCTAATTACGTTTCTAAAGATTTTCAAGAATATTTCTGATTAATAAATAAGAATTTAACACAAATTACAATGAGAATCTAGCTCTTTCTTATCAAGAAGACATTTACCCTTAAAATTGCAACTACATTGTGGCTTTGACCACTTCATATAATGGTTAAAAGCTTGGAATGAAATCAATGGTGAAGTTGGTAAACTTGTGGGGGGCATTGATGAGGGGGAGTCTCGTGTCTTGTGGGAGAGAACACATAACATAAGAAGTGCTTAGAAAGAGGGTAAAAAAAAATTCAAGTAAAGAAAGAGAGGTGAATAGTCAAACCCTAAAACCCTAAATGGGCAAGTTGTTCTACTTCAAAAGATAAACCCTAATCGAGAGGCGTGCACAACAAAGATTGATCAAATTTTAAAAACCCTAAAATCTTTAATCCCTTCACCTCCTCTCCTCTTTCTCATGTGACTTGTCTTCTTTTTCTCTTTAGTTTGCAAAATTTTATCTAAGCCCTACTCCCAAAACAAACCCACCACCCCCACCCCTCCTCAGCTCCTCTTCTCGATTAACCCCCAGAAAAATAATTAATCCACACCTTCTAGGTTTTTTTACTTTTACCATGCAGTTAAATTAAATGCAAAATTTCTAAGATAATCCCATAAAATTATAGATATTTTTCAAAGGATCTTATTCTTTATAATTATCAAATAAGATACAAGCAAATTATGGGGTTGGCCTAACAATAATACACAATGAGAACATTCACCATACCCTAAAATCAAACTTTGATATTACCAATTAATAGAATTTTTTTTATTGAATATACTAAGTCAAAATCATGATATGGATTCAGTCTGGACTATGGATAGAGGGTAGTTAGGAGCCAGCCACCAAATGAACAACTCGATTAACTTAATTGCTACAACAAAAGTGACAAAATTAGACAATTTATATAATCAAAAGCTTTTGGGTGATGAAGCAAAATCGCCAAGCAAATCGCAAAGCTACTAAAAATTGCCTTTTGCATCTCAACCTAAGTCAGTGCGGCCAGAGTTGTTTGAGTCGAGAGTAACCTTTAGAGAGGCAATGGCGACTTTAATGGGATCTTTTCCTTCATTCTAGCATGCAGACTCAACATATGAATGAGCATGTACTAATCCATGACATTCCTGATCACTAATCATGCCTAGATCTTTGTAAAAAAGCTCTTAATTAGTTGACACGACATGGCCTACAAAGACTCGGTCATTTTCTATTTTCAAACAAAATATCATCTACCAACAAAATATATAATCGTGTGTGTCGTGCTAGAATGTTGGTGCTATAATTTGATTGTACAATTTGATAATTATATAAAAAATTTAGCATTGTTTAAAATTTAGTCTCGCATGAACTAGATCAATACGAGTATGAGATCAAGATTACCCGATAATCAAGACGACCATTAGTACATCACATGATCGAATATCGTTGACTCACTGCACTACGATTTCGAGAGAAAAAATAAGAGAGCAATTGACGGTAATTACTATGATTTTTTAAACCGTATCGAAAACCAAATCAATGATGATTAGGGTTAACGCATAAGCATTATAGAGTTAATTACGATAGGGCAGCCACCACCAACATGAATGATACCACAAGGCTAAGTGCTCCAATAAGAAGCTGTTATATTTTCACGCCACCCCTGAAAAAGAGCTCTCTTTCTTGCTTGTATTAATGTTATTCAACTAAAAGATACCAATCCAGACGAAGGCCAGATTTCAAGGGAGATAATTAGGGATGGAGCAATGAGCATATATAAATAATATAATTAATAAATAATCAAATACACCTAGGGCATGTGAAAAAAATGAAATGAAAGGACAAATAGGAAAAAAATTAATTTGGTTTTGTTTATTTAATTAGTAAGTCCCTCCTTTTGGCTTTCACAATCTTCAAAGCTAAACAGCCTCACTCCCATTGTCATCAAAACTCTTATGTTCCCTAGGCTAGGCTTGCTAACTTAATAATAATAATTATTTATTTTTTTGTTTAATTTGGGTAATGGTTTGAATTTTGATTTCTTTAATAATTTCTGGTATTTCAAGGTTGTTTTTGGATAGTTGTTTCAGCTTGTAGTTGTAGAGATATAATTTACTGAATTTTATGTGATTTAGTTATTGATACAAATGCTCCAGGGCCCATTTGCATATTGCATCTCATCGGCATCGAGTGATTTGAGGTTCATGATTTAATCTATGAGTTCTTTCAAAGGTAACTAACTCAAAATTTGTACAGTTTTGAATGGTACAATATGCTAACTTGTAGAATAAAAACAAAAGAATGTTAGATTTGTGGCAAACATAAAAGTGATTTTAAACGAGCTGTTCATCTTCTATAGATGCGAGTCTAATTGATTCTCTAACAGTTTGGCATATGAAGAGACTATAAACATACTACTGATAACAACTTAGGAAACTATGGAACCAGAACTAACACTAGTCTATGATCATTACCCCTTATGATCAATTTGGAACATGGATATCGAACATGTCAAACTCGTCATTGAGCTCCTCCTTGAACCCGATAGTGGGCATTCCTCATAAGCAGAGTTATTAAAGCCGAGTCGAGCCGTTCGGTCCGACCGGTAAAACCGCCACCCGGTCACAAAATCGGCTCGGAACAGTCTAAAAGCCGCTTCGGTTTTATGTAGCGGTTGGTGAGCGACCGAGGCGGTTAGCCGTTCGAGCCGATCGAGCCGCTCGTCCAGTTTTTGCCATTCAACCACTAAATTTAATTAAAAAAATTGTAGAAATTTGAAAATTGAAAAAAACAAAAAACGTCAGGCTCTCAAATTGAATCCTTATTTCCATTTCACAATTTCGAAGGAAAGAGATGAACTCTGATTAAGAAATGTCCACTATTTATACTGATAACGTTTATTAGGTACCGGTTCTCTAACGGTTTTTAAACGGTCTAATGCCGGTTGGACCACTAAAGTGCGAGCCGTTCGCATTACCGGGTCATGCTCCGGTTCGGTTCTGACAACATTGCTCATAAGCATAGTAACAGCTCCACGAGCAAATTGTATATGCAACGACTTTATAAGTTTAGAAATAAGCTTCTCACGAGTGAAATGACGACCATTGAGTTACATAATACAAAAGTATTTTTCACAAAGCATATGTAAAGAAGAAGGAATGGGATCATGAAAATCATAACTCAACCACTATAATTCGTTACAAATCTATCAACATCTAGGACATGAATACTCAACAACACATTATCGTTGGTATCCATTACCAAACCTCTCCCAATAACTCGAATTATTGATACCAGTTCGTTTTTGACATAATATCAAAACTTTTTTGTGACTGAGAAGTCTTCTATTCGGGTGTCCATTGACATTCATTGATAAACACATAATATACGAATATGTGCAAACTTGAACCCCTATATGTGGCTTTCATGTAATTACAATTAACTGGTTCCCTATGAGCTTATCGATTAGGAGACCTTCAATCTCATGATCTAACGTAAGAGTGGGCAACTTTGTCCATAGGCATAGGGTTTGAAAAACAGAGGTATGGCGCTCAAGTGCACAAGTAAGCTAAATCCAAACCTCACCTTAATTTAATCAGATTATCAAATTGTTAATGTATTTCTTTCGGTTTCTCCAAAAACAAGATTAAATATCACAAAGTTCCCTCGTTTTTCTGAACCGAAATGCAGGAAGAAGAAGAACGCAAGAAGAGAGAGACAGAGAGAGAACAGCTTTCATCAAAATCAAACACAAGAAAGAAAGAGACAGAGTGCTCTCAACTCAAAGCCCCCCTTTCCCACTCAAGTCTCACCACCGCCCGCCGCCGTCACCGGAGCTCAACTCTAACCCTTGGAAGTCCAAACCACCTTCTTCATACCCCTTTTCCCCCACTACCCACATCCCTTTCTTTCTTCCCCGCCGCCGTATCCAGTCGCCGGCGTTTAGCTACACTACACCCAGAGAAAAAACCCTGTATCTCTGTCATTGATCACCGTTCAGGCCGCCGGAAAAAAAACTGTAGCAGAGTATTCTTCTACATCCGCATGCAATAGTTTTGTCTTCCTTCAGAAACCAGAAAAAAGGAGAAAAAAAGAAAAACAGAGTAACATGGCTCTCTCTTCCACTTCCATTCCCCATTGCTACGAGCTGTCGACCACATGAACCCACCGACGGCTGCTACACAAAAACAATCCCCAAAAGATCTCTTCTTTACTCTTCTTTCTAGTGTAGAACTCAAGCTATCCTTCCTTTCCCACATGATCCCTCTTCGAATCATGCATTTTGTCCCCTAGATAAAACTACCCTTTTTTCCCATTCCACCGGCCGTCGTCGACCGTCGCCGGAGCCTCCCCACGAGTTTTCCTTACTCGCCCACAAAAGAAGAGCAGAAACCCAGAAAAACCCAGAAATGGAGATACTCAAAACATCCCACTCTGTATCGCTCTGTTTTTCATCTCTGCTTTTAGTCTTACTCGCCGCCATGGATAAACCCCTCTCCGTCTCCTCTCTCTCTCCCGACGGCGAAGCCCTCCTCCCACTTCTCTCCGCCGGGAAATCATCATCACCGCTCTTCTCTTCATGGAACCCATCTCACCAAACCCCATGTTCATGGCTGGGGATAACATGCTCACCGCAGAACAGAGTAATCTCTCTGTCTCTCCCAAACACATTCCTGAACCTCACTTCAATACCACCGAACCTCTCTTCCTTGACATTTCTCCAGCTCCTGAATCTCTCATCCACAAACATCTCCGGCGAAATCCCATCTTCATTAGGCCAGCTGTCCAATCTCCGGCTGCTCGACCTATCTTCCAACTCCCTCTTCGGCTCCATCCCTCGAGACCTCGGCCGCCTCTCTTCTCTCCAGTTCCTCTACCTAAACTCCAACAGACTCACCGGGAAAATCCCGCCGGAGCTCGCCAATCTCACTTCTCTGGAAGTCCTCTGCCTCCAGGATAACCAGCTCAACAGCTCAATCCCGGCTCAACTCGGTTCGTTGGTCGCATTGCAGCAGTTTAGAGTAGGGGGAAACCCTTATCTGACCGGAGAAATCCCGCCGCAGCTCGGGATGCTGACGAATTTGACCACATTCGGCGGCGCGGCCACAGCACTCTCCGGCGGGATTCCTTCCACATTTGGGAACCTGGTCAATCTCCAGACTCTGGCTCTGTACGACACTGAGATTGGTGGTTCGATTCCAGGTGAGCTTGGTTCCTGTTTGGAGCTCAGGAACTTGTATCTCCACATGAACAAGCTGACCGGTTCAATCCCTTGCCAGTTGGGTCAACTACAGAAGCTAACCAGCTTGCTGATCTGGGGGAATGGCTTAACCGGTTCGATCCCTGCGGAGCTTTCGAATTGCTCCTCGCTTGTAGTGCTCGATGCTTCTGCGAATGATCTCTCCGGCAGCATTCCTGGCGATTTAGGGAAATTGGCAGTCTTGGAGCAGCTGCATTTGTCGGATAATTCGTTAACCGGTTTCATTCCAAGCCAGTTGGGCAACTGCACGAGCCTAACCGCACTCCAGCTCGATAAAAACCAGCTCTCGGGCTCGATTCCTGTCGAAATCGGGAACCTGAAGTTCCTGCAGAGCTTCTTTCTGTGGGGGAACTCGGTTTCGGGCACGATTCCATCATCATTTGCCAACTGCACTGAGCTCTACGCCCTTGATTTGTCGCGGAACAAGCTGACCGGTTCGATCCCGGATGAGATTTTTAGTCTGAAAAAGCTGAGCAAGCTACTACTACTGGGGAATTCACTGTCAGGAGGGCTTTCTGAATCAGTGGCGAATTGTGAGTCCTTAGGGAGACTAAGACTCAGCGAGAACCAGCTCTCGGGGCGAATTCCTAAGGAAATTGGTCAGTTACAGAATCTAGTATTCCTAGACTTGTACATGAATCATTTCTCAGGCGAAATCCCTCAGGAAATCGCCAACATTACAGTTCTGGAGCTGCTAGATGTGCACAACAACTACATTACTGGTTCCATACCTTCTCAGTTGGGCAAGCTGGTGAATTTGGAGCAGCTTGATCTTAGTCGAAACAGCTTCAATGGAGAAATCCCATGGAGCTTTGGTAACTTCACTTACCTGAACAAGCTGATCCTGAACAACAATCTAATTACTGGTTCCATCCCCGGGTCGATTCAAAGCTTGCAGAAGCTCACATTGCTCGATCTCGGCTACAACTCTCTCTCTGGGGAACTCCCTTTGGAGCTGGGCCGCGTCACTAGCTTGACCATAAGCCTCGACCTGAGCAACAACGCATTCTCTGGAGAACTCCCCGAGTCAATGTCTGGTTTGACTCAACTGCAATCTCTTGATCTTTCCCACAACAAGTTTTACGGGAAGATTAAGGTTCTTGAGTCGTTGACTAGCCTTGCTTCATTGAACATTTCCTGCAACAACTTCTCAGGTCCTATTCCTGTAACACCATTCTTCAGAACTTTGAATTCAAACTCTTATCTACAAAATCCGAATCTCTGTGTGTCGGTAGATGGGATTACTTGCTCTTCGAGGGTTGCTCGAGCGAGGGGATTGAAATCAGGGAAAACAATTGCGTTGATATCAATCATTCTGGCATCACTAACACTGGCATTGCTATCCTCATGGATTATAGTTACCAGAAGCCATAGGTACATTGCTGAGAAAGCTTTAGGAGGCTCTTCGTTGGAGGGCGAGGATTTTTCCTACCCTTGGACCTTCATTCCATTTCAGAAGCTGAATTTCTCAATAGACAACATCTTGGAGTGCTTGAAAGATGAGAACATAATAGGGAAAGGTTGCTCGGGAGTTGTGTACAAGGCTGAGATGCCTGGAGGCGAGTTGATTGCAGTGAAGAAGCTGTGGAAGACTAAGGGTGATGAAGTTAACATCATTGACTCATTCGCTGCAGAGATTCAGATTCTGGGCCACATTCGACATAGGAACATTGTGAAGCTATTGGGGTACTGTTCAAACAAGAGTGTGAAGCTGTTGTTGTATAACTACATACCGAATGGTAATCTACAGCAGTTGCTGCAAGATAATAGAGGGTTGGATTGGGAGACAAGGTACAAGATTGCTGTGGGTTCAGCTCAGGGTTTGGCTTATCTTCATCATGATTGTGTCCCTGCTATACTCCATCGAGATGTGAAGTGTAACAACATACTGCTTGATTCGAGGTTCGAGGCATATCTGGCTGATTTCGGGCTTGCTAAGCTGATGATGAGCACCCCAACGAATTATCACCATGCCATGTCTCGTATTGCTGGTTCTTATGGATACATAGCTCCGGGTAAGCTTGTCTTTTTAACCGTTCTTCGAATCTTGTTTGAAGTTCATAACTTTAGATTTTAGGGCAACTTGTTGTGATGAATAATGTGAGAAGTTGTCTTAACCGTTTCAGCCTTCTTTATTGTCAAAGATTCAAACTTTGACTTTGGTTGACTTGTTGTGATGATCATGAAGAATGTGGGAAGGTGCCTTAACCGGTTCTCTTTCCACATTTCATCACTTTTAGCCATAATCAATGTCAAAGATTCAAACTTTGGCTTCAGTTACCCTGTCTCTAATCATCGTGGGGGGCTGTTATTCGATCTGGCTTGGATAAGCCCTCAATGATTAACAATGGGGAAAGCTAGTTTCTCCACCACTTTATTACTATCAGCTACTGCATTTAGCATTAAAGAATCAAACTTTGACAACGTGGGAAGCTGTCTTAAGTCTTAACAGTTTGTCTTTCGACATTCCATTACATTTGAACTTTGACCGACTTTGCAGAGTATGGCTACACCATGAACATCACTGAAAAGAGCGATGTCTACAGCTACGGAGTCGTGTTGTTGGAGATCTTGAGCGGTAGGAGCGCCGTGGAGCCACAGATTGGCGACGGGCTCCACATAGTGGAGTGGGTGAGGAAGAAGATGGGGAGCTTCGAGCCAGCCACGTCGATACTCGACTCGAAGCTCCAAGGAATGCCGGACCAGATGGTGCATGAGATGCTTCAGACGCTTGGCATCGCCATGTTCTGCGTGAACTCTTCGCCAGCAGAGAGACCGACGATGAAGGAAGTGGTGGCATTGTTGAATGAGGTGAAGTGTCCACCTGAGGAGTGGGGGAAGAGTACTTCCCAGCCTTTGATGAAGCAGTCTGCAACTCAGAGTTGAGATAATAGACTTTTTGTTGGTTTAGTTAGGTGTTTTTAGGTGATTTTTTTTTTTTTGCAGTCAAATCTTTTAGTTTGAGTTGAGAGGGGAAAGAAGAAAGACAGCAATGTTTGGAGCTTAGTGGGGCTTAGTAAGAATTAGGTTCTGGTGTTTATGTTGGGGGTTTCATGGTGTACAGTTTTAGAGATAGAGATTTGTGTTCTGTTCCTCTCTTGTTTCAGGTTCTGGAAATAATGGAATTAAGAACAATTCAGATTGGAAATCCTCATTGCAGTGCTATTTCATCTCATTTCTAGTTGTTTGAAATTTAGTTGTAGTATCTAACAACCATAACATAGTATAGGTACTAACTTACCAACTTTTCATTGGTTTGGTTCCATAGTTTGGGAGAGGTGGAAGCCATATTGGGTCCATCATTTCATGAATTCTTCATGGATGGATGTCCTCTAAGTAGCAATGTAGGGGTCGGTTGAAAAATTATGGTTTGGGGGAATCCTGATAATTATGCTAGATTTGCTACATACGTAATTAGTCATCAAGGATTTACAAATCCCATTTCAATATGTGGAATTTTCAAGTTTGTAGGATTCACGGATTTGGATAAAAAAGACAAATTTCGTGGATTCTACTGATTTGACACCCAACAACAATCAATGGATTTGGTTAAAATTCATTATGTTTGGAATTTGGGTCCCAAATCCAACAAGCAAAACGACCCCATAATGTTTGTAACTTCATTGCATTTTGTTATACATCTAGCTCAACCACTTAGAAGTGCTACACAATCGGTCACTCATGATTAGGTTTGCTACGATTTAAATTTTAACAAATTGATTAATTACGTCTTTAGTAGCTATCATATTAATCATTTCATCGTGTTCTCCATCTATTTCCCATTGAAATTAGTCACGTCGCCCTCTCGTATCATCTAAATTTAATATAAAAGATTCACGAAACATTTCACTCTAACCTAACCTATCCTAACCAAATACCAAATTCCAACCCAAACCAATGCACCTGATCAAATATGGTATACTTTCAGAAGCACAAGTCCAAAATGCTTCACATCCAAACTAGGGCGAAATGAAAGATAAAAGAAGCTTGAGAAACATGTGGGGTTTTTGCCATACTTTTTGGTCGCTATAGACCAATCACACTAACAACAAACTTGTATGTACGTGAGATCTTCACTCCAATCCACCTACTCTTATTCAATGTCGTCCAATCCAAACAAGAGAGAAGTCAAAATTGTTCAAGTGATGGAAAGTAAAGAAGGGGAATGGGTGGTGATGGGGTTTCTTGAGTTTTGGATATAAAGCAAGGAAGAATCCATACTACATTGGTGAAGGTATGGGGTTTCATGTGATTTTGCTGCACCCACATTGGACAACAAAATCCATGGAATCATCCTTTCCACCCATTGCGCATTGCTTTCAAGTGCTGCACCCACTTCGGGTCATTTTCGGTTTATTACCGTCATTCCGAAATAAGTTACTCATATTCTTCCAAATTGTCTAGAATATGAATTGATATTGGTGTAAAATACGGCTAGCATTAAATTTCTTTCCTTTGAGGATGAAGATGTGCAACATAAAACTCCAATTACATTAAAGAGCATGTCCGAGTTTTTGTCCCTTACTACGCCATCCAAAATTAATACGTCATATGATCATAGTTGGATGCTCAATGAAGTAAGTAGCCAATCACATATTGCTGGTCTACTTCGACTAAACAATCCAGCACATGACTACATTTGTCTAGACGACGTCCTGTAAATACGACAAGACGAATATATTAAAGACTTTTGAAGAATACAAGAATGAGAGAAATCAAATACTAATTCGTTTAAAACGCGAAACTCGGATCATTAACAACAAATCTCCATCCTCATAAAATTCGTGCTGTTTAGCTTCTACCTCCCTTACCTCTTGGAAGCAACCTTTGTTTTATCAACCACACTCCCCACCATTTTGTCATTCTCTGTGAAAGAGAAGTGGCTTGGAAGCTACTTCGTAAACAAGGAAAGAAGCCACATCTTCTTCACTGGACGATTCCAAAATGTTCAAGTTAAAGACCAGACATACCACCACCCTTTGCTACTGAACTTCCCCAAGTGAGAAGTGACTTCAGACAGATTCTCCCGACAAGAACAAAAATTCTATTAGAGTTGATCATCAAGTTGACCCATTTTTGACTTTCAATAGACACCACAATCGATCACTCACCTTGTCCCCAAAAGCCATATCATTCCATTTGCTCAAGTTCCTGTCTCTTCCTAATTCATCTCTGGCTTCCCCATCTCCAAAAAGAACATTCCTTTCACGACTAAAGCAGGAAATCTGCCTGTGTTTTCAATAGCTACCAATGGGGATACTTATAGGCCTGGTTACAGAACTGACATTCTCTATCAAACATCACAGCAGTTATACCAAACAACATAAAATAGTGATCACTGCAACTAAAAAAGCTTACTTAATCTGATCTAAGAACCCATCAACTGAAACTTGACGTTTCCCTCTTGTTAGAGGAAGACGACCTGCCTCTCAAGGCTGCAACACTTAGCTTTGGACCTCCTGGTGGAACCGCAGTTGGACTTCGCTTCTTTCCCGTTTGTTTCTTGGGACCTGAAGAAGACTTGAATGTCTTTGAAGAGTTCACGGTCTTTGAAGGCTTCTCGATCTTCGAGAACTTCAGTGTTTTTCCGACCTTCACAACTCTCCTAGACGCCGTTGCAGGAGAGGGCTTTTGCCTAGAGCTTCTTGGGGAATCCAGGACCTTGGTCGAGCTGTTGGATTTAACACCAAGAGGTTTAGTCTTGCTACTCTGGCTGGATGATTTCGACAGTCTTACATTCTTCCCTTTCTGTTCAGTAATACGAGCCCGGGCTTTGTCTCTTCGAACGCCATCCATAGTGAGGGACTCTAAGCTCTCGTTCTTCCTTATAGCTTCCTCGATCCTTGTGGCTAGTGGTACATCCTTTTTAGTGATCAAGCTCGTTACTTTACCTGAAGATAGAACATGTGAAAGGCACAATCTGAACACTAGAGAGGAGCAAGAGAGGCGATATAGAAGGGCATGGTATTACATTATCAATCATTACCTTTTGCACCCATTCGAGCAGTTCTTCCAGTGCGATGAAGGTAATCAACCTACAACATTACAAGCAAGAAGGAAAAGGTCAATAGATGTCCTTTCGATCACGAGTTGCTCCCCTTCATTCCCCCCTTTTTCATTCTTTTCCTTCCATCCTCTCCTATTGATTAAGTGCTTCAGCAAGCTGAATATAAACAACGCATTTCTTGGCACCGCTAAAGAAACTCTTTCGGTTGTCAGGAGATCTTGCACCAGATCAATGGTTGAGGGACTAAGAAGAATTTATTACATGTGATAGTTGACAACAGGGACTAGATACTCAAATTTCAAAAAGAACTATTGAAAAAACTCGGGTAGTCATTAGAATTTGGGGTTTACCACAAATCTGTCACTGTAGTTGTTTTTTTTTATAATTTGTCTAATGTTTGAAATAATCAACATAATAGTCACTCAGATACTCTCTATTAGGTTTGTATTCCAAATTAGCCCAACTCATACAAATTAATAATTGAAGGGCAACATGAAACTCTCAGCAGCTTACATGAGCGGCCATACTTGATCCAAACCAAAACCGTTTCTCAATCCAATTCCAATTCAGATTAAGTCACACTACCACAATCTCTCCCAAAAAGCTTTAGAGAATATATCTGTTGTTATTTTTATCAAAATCATTGATGTAGTAATTGACACAGAAAAACACTGCAGACAACTACTCGAATAACAATGATATAAGAAAAGTCACTTACAGAGTTAGAGGGGAAATCAAACATTATCACATGGTCTACATCCAAGTCTAGTCCTCTAGCAGCCAAGTCCGTACAAACCAAAGTGGGGCAATCTCCGTCGTCGCTTTTGAATTTGTTCAGATTCTGAACCCTGAGTTTAAGGAATAACAGGGATTACATATCAGTTTGATGCTACAAATACCTAGCAATTAACAAATTATCAGTATGAATTGTCTCACCTCTCCTCTGCCGGGACCTCCCCATGGTAATTAACAGTAGCCATCTGATTCTCAGAAAGAAAATGGTCCACAGCACGACTAGAATTCAGGGTATTGCAGAAGACCATCACCCTGTTACCCTTGGCCAAACTTGGCTCAAGAACCTGCATTTCATACCCGGTTCTTTCAGTGACTTTCAGCGACATTTTAAAAAATAAGCATAACTAGTTAATTTCCACTCATTACCTGTAGCAATGCTTCGAGCTTATTTTCGGATCCAGAGAGTTTTATGAAATCATGGCGAGCAGATGCAACCTTTCGATGCAGAGTCGATGTGCGTAAATGCACTATGCCTTGGAACTCCTCATCAACTAGCATTTGAACTCCCTGTGAAATCTCTAAAAAGTCAACTGCAAGTTACCACATATGCGAATGAAGTTCCATTACATCCCAGCAAACAGACGAGAAGCACAATCGATATCACTGGCAATCCCAAGGATGCTCAATTCACGAATGTAATCTGGACAAACTATTAGCATGAATCCATCTCATTTTAAGCTTGATAAAGGCACAAACTTTAGCAAATTTACATCGAGATGTACCAAGAATTGTTTCAGTCACCTGTAAGAACTGGGGTAAAATAAATCCCTAATGAATAATCTATCCTTTTCTTTTTAGGTTAGGAAAGCAGTTGCCGAGGACAGAAAAATTAAGTCTTCAAAGGTAAACAAACGTGAAGGTTTAGGTGGAGACATGTCCAACTTAGCTAAGCAACCAAAGAATTCAGCTGTCCAAGAACCAAGAGAACAGAGCAGCAATATCTAACTTCTATTTCGTAACTTGCTAAGCATTCTTGAACTCTTCAACATAACCAAATGCTTGGGAACACAGACGAAAAAGAAAACTTTGAAATACAACACAATGTACCTTTGTAATTGTTGCAGCAACCAACACAGTTTGAAACCCTTGCCCTTCAGCCTTTGATGCACGATTTTTTAAAGGAGCAAGAAACTTGCGAATATCAGGACCAAATCCACGATCAAACATAGTATCTGCCTCATCCAAAACCTACTAAAGAACAGGAAAATCACTACAGGCTCTAGCAGATAGTTGCATGAAATGAAGCCAATCAAAAGTTTCTAGACACTCACCACGTACTTTACATCTCCATACACAATATTTCCTTCCTCAATATGTTGAAGAATCCTACCGGGAGTCCCGACTACCATATCGACCGGGTTATTAAGCGAGTCTTCCTGAGGTCTCAACCTTCCACCACCACTAACCATGATAGACCTGAACCGAGCGTGATGGCTAATCGACTTGGCAACATGGAAAACCTATGGATGGTAGTATGTATGATCATAAAAACTGCACAAAGCCGTGGGAAGAACTAACCAATTCAGTAGAAGAAAGAAAGACAAAAACCTGCTCAGATAGCTCCCTAGTGGGGCATAGAACAACAGCTCGAGGACGCTTTGGCTTCATCATTCTACCTGATAATGCCTCATCCTGTCTTATCAACTGCATAACACCAACAGAAATTTAACTCAATCCACTAGACAGAAATCCAATGTACAAAAGAACTCGAATTTCCCTATCATAAACTTACCTGAACAATGGGCAAGAGGTAAGAGAGAGTTTTTCCAGAACCAGTATGAGAACCCAAAACCACACTCTGGCCTTCCAAGACAGCAGGAATCCCAAGGCACTGAATCTCGGTGGGAGTTTCAATTGACATCTCTTTGAGGGCTGCCATCACCTCTTCGCTCAACCCCAGTCCTCAAAACTCCCCACCATAAACTTCTTCCCTTTCTTCTTCCCATCGGACCCATTTGAATCCTCGCCCTCGACAGCAGATGCAGCAGCGGAAGAAGAAGGTCGGGAATTAGACTTGGAGGGTTCCTTGAGGTGTCTGGACCTAAGCCTCTCCAAGAGAATAGCGTGCTTTGCCTGTTCCGGGTCGGTGATTTCGGCTGCGGGCGCTGCTTCGGTGGTGGTGGTCGCTGATGCTGTGCAGATGGGTTTGAAGTTAAACCCTAGCAAAACCCTGCTGGGTTTAGGCAACCGAAGAAATGGGCGGTGGCGAGGGAAGTGTGTGAGTTTGGCTGCGGCGGAGTGGGAGAATGAAAGAAGTAGAGCTCTGGAGGCGGCTGCCGCCATTGTCATTGTAGAATGGTCGATTGGGGCTTTCTGGCTTTTTGCCGGGGAAGATTTTATATGTTCGTTGCAGTAGGAAGGAACAATAAACTCTGATGGGAGCACAGAGCGAGCGGCTTTTAGCTTCGGTTAAACTACCAATTGGTCATCAAAATTCCTTTTTATCGATCACATTGCGAACTGAGTCTAGCACTCGTCTCTACTACCGAGAAACCGAGTACTAAGAGTCTAAGACCACAAGAGCACAAAACTCCCTCTAGGAGGTGTAAAGTAGAAACTAGAAAGTCACTAACTGCATAACCAAATTAGAAATGTCAATTTCCACCTGCTCCATGGTGATCTTGGTTTCGATTTAATTGAGTCTTCCCGCTTCATTCTAAATCCGTTTTGTCTAAATTACGTGTAATTCTACTACCAGATTTTTAGTTTTATTACATCCTATTGGATATCACACCACTTGAGGGATCGTTTTGTCAATCGTGCCGATGAGAATGTTACCACACAAAGTGATGCAATTTCTACCAGCACACACTCACCAAGCAATGGTTGGGGTCTTGTTGCAATGTAGAAGTAGAACTAGCATTTGAAGTTAGGTCAAAAGATATAAGCGAAGCAGCCAAATAATTTCACATGAATAGTTCTCACAGCCAAATCAATGGTCTCAAATCTCTCCAAGTAGCAAAATCATCATAACTAATCATATTTATATCTCCCACGAGGTTCTGAATGCAGCATTGTGTTCCATGGAACGGTTTCAGCTCAATAACTGGGAGCTGCTTGTTGCTTTGAGACCTAACTAAGAATCTAAAAGCTACCACCCCTGAGTGCAAGAACCAGATGAAGCACTGAGCCACCTTCAATATTGTAGTCTTTGGCTGTCTTGTCATCTGCAAGCTGCTTCCCCGCATAGATGAGCCTGAAATATCCAGAGAATGGAAAAAAAACAAGTGCTAAGTTAGCGCAGAGAAGCAACGGTCATAACGCAAGGAATGAATGGAAAAGATGTGCTGCTGCTGCTAGTGACCATATTATGCATTCACAAAGAACTTTTCAAGCACACTCATAATAGATTCACTGCTAAGCAAGGGTGCAATTAGTTCAGGCATGGAAAGTAAAGAGAACTGCTGACTAGTGATTGATTTTCACCTCTGCTGAATTGGGGGGATTCCTTCCTTCTCTTCAACCCTTTCCTTGATCCTATCGATGGTATCAGTAGGTTCGATATCGATCTCGATCTCTTTCCCTGTCAGGGTTTTCACCTTGATCATAGTTCCTCCCCTAAGTCTGAGCACCAAGTGAAGAGTTGACTCCTTCTGGATGTTGTAGTCTGCAAGGGTTCTCCCATCTTCCAATTGCTTCCCAGCAAAAATCAGCCTCTGCTGATCTGGTGGAATCCCTTCCTTGTCCTGACAATTCATCACCCACAACAAAAAGAATGGAGCTTCAGCATGGGCATCACACACTAAACAGTCCAGAGGCAGAAAAACAAACAATGAAAGGGCCAAATAACTCGTTAACCCAGGCAGAGAACAGGCAGCAAAAACAAATTGTTTAGGGCCAAGAAGCAAAACCCCAACTTTCCAATCAAATAACCAAAGCAAAGGCGCAAGCTTTAATCAAGTTCAATCAGAGAAGAACCAATATCTACCAGAGATTCGACGACAATTCGAAATAAGAAACAAAACCCTCGAAGCAATCGCCGGTGAAGAATAATACCCAGAAAGGATTAGATGAGAGAAGGGCGAAATAACGAAGAACAGAAAGCGTAATCAGTAAAAAGCTAAGGGGGCGGGGGAGTGGGGAAAAGAGGGAGACCTGAATCTTAGCCTTGACGTTGTCGATGGTGTCGCTGCTCTCGACTTCGAGAGTGATGGTCTTGCCGGTCAAGGTCTTGACGAAGATCTGCATCTTCTCTCTTCTTCTTCTTCTTCTTCTAGCTAGTGGGGCTGTTTCGGGGAAGCCGATTGGCGAGCTTCGATCACTGGTTAGGGAATTCGATTTTGTGTTGGACTGTTGGGGAGGCGTTGGGATTTTTAAGTCGGCCTAGTTAAACCCAAAAAAATTTGAACCCAACCCGCCACATCATTAAAACCCACCACATAAGGAACCCACCTCTACTCAACTCAACCCAACCGAACCCGTGATACAAACCATCCCCTTCTTCCTCTATTTTATTTTACCCAACTAAGATAACCCTACCCCAAACCTGACCCACTGAATCCGCCGTCGCCAAGTCGCAGTTTGAGTACGCACAACAAAACGTGATCGACTTGTGTATTTTGTTTGGGCATTATGTTGTGGATGGTTAAGTTTCTATTTATATATATTTACAACTAGATCAACTTTTGTAATCTTTATTTTCGGGTTTAAGGTTTCTGTATGGGACGCTTGAGATGATGAATTGAACTATAGATCTATTTTTGTTGATCGCACTAAATTTCTTCTACTACTTAACTAACTGTGTAGTTTTGCTTCCACAAGTAATTCCATCAATGGGAACATTCCTTGGCATGCTATTTATACGTTAAACAATTAAACCAAGTATCAATGCTTAAAAGTATTAGAATCTTAATTTCACAGTGACTTCGGTAAACATGAAGATAGAAGATAAATGGAAATATGAGCAACATACAATGAATTTCTGTTGCTTTTCGTTTGGTAAAATGTTCAAATAAGCATGGCAAAGTTTTTTATATAAAAAATTGAAAAGGTACAAACAAATGCGGAGTCGTAGGTTAATACACAACGAATTGATATTTGACTCGAATTAGATCAAACAAAAAATAATTTAATTATATTTTTTAGTCAAAGAAGAATAACCGAATCGTAACAATATCAAATGTTCTTTTGACTTTCATCTTCAATTTCACTTATTTTCCCTTTTGTGTATATTAACTATTTCAATGTGATATGTTTATAATAATATTTATAGATTTATTCCCTTTTTAATTAATAGACAACCGTCTACCATACCTGAATAAAAATAAAATTTCAAAACTTCATTTTCAAGCTACTTATTTCACATATTAAAGTTAACAGACATTCAAAAGCAAAAACTATCAAGTTACTCTTTCAAACCACCCTCGCACAATATTAAAAATTGAACCATCTACGTAAAAATACCTAAATGATCATAAACCGGCCAACGGGCCGGATACAAACTAGTTTATTTTTATGCACTTTCCTCTTTCTCTCTCTAATTCCATAAATTATGATCATACAAAATTTTATCTACAAATAAACTAATGTTAGTCAAGTTAAAGGTTTTATTTTTTATATTTTATTTCACTACAATATTGAAGAGGGTTTATCGAGGAAGGATGAGTCCATTATATGATTAAAATTTGTGACCTCAAACCAATGATAATGTTTTTTATTTATTTTATTATACCAAACACTTTTAGGTAATCAAATTTTTACGTCGACACTCTTCATAGTACGAAACAAAAGGAGAAAATGATGGGGGATCTAAATTTATTATCCCTATCAGAAAGAGAAAAAAAAACACAATTATTATAATAAACCCTTTGAATCAAAAGCATACTACTGCTTATTCTAAAAAAAAAAAAAAAGATAAACATTGTGTTTCCTTTTGTTCTTTTTCTCTCCTTTAATCTAATCTAATGCTCATTATTCCAAAAACCGCACTTGTCATACTGATGTGTTTGCAAGTTGAACTTACAAAGCCCAAAGGGCTTAACAATATATTTACAAGCAACACAGTTCATTTCCCAATCATTATAAACATCAGACCAATGAACCTTGCCACCACCTGGAACGCCAGCTCGCCATTCAAAGGAACAGTAGAACAGGGTTCGAAAAAATACATCTGTCCTAAACTTAAAACGAGAGCTCTGATTATATTCCAAAAGACGAACCCCAAGATCGTCATCTTTTGACCTGCAATGTAACTTTAGTCGCGCCTTGCTCTCAAGTGTGTTGGTAATTGTTACGGTTTTTTTCACCGGAAAGATGCCATCTACATGCTCGGCTTTAGCAGCAACATCGCCTGTTGTTGCGATGACCACGAGGAAGATAACGTTGATTATCAAAAATTTCCTCCTCATACTAATTATGCTTAAAATCACCAGATATACTGTGATATATCATATATCACCAATATTGGATATATAGATATTTGTGCGTGTGAAGATGATCGCTATATGTCAGTATGTGTATATATATATAAGGCCGTGGATCAATTTCAGGATTTTCAGTTAGTTTGCTTTTTTTTTTTGTATGGATAGCGTAAATCTATATACTTTTCTATTTTATGCTTTTGATACTGTCTTATTTTCCGACAATTACGATTAAGAGACGACTGAATAATTCAGTGCTTGTTTCAAAGTGATAACAGCGCGCTACTAATTATATCACAGAGTCAGAAATTTTATTCTTGGCAAGAAATAAGATGATTATAGCATAGAATAATTAAGGAATTAAACAACTAAAGCATTCGCGAATGGTATAATCATCGCATGACCAAAACATGTAACGATCCATACATCGAATGATATGGGCATATAATGACCGAAACATCTCATTAAATCATAGAATGTAGTTGCATCAAGCATCTTTAGAATTCACATTACTAAACAATACAAACTTAGTTAGCCATAAGAGATAAAGAAGACATCATCGATTCAATTGTAGAGTTGAATGGTCAATGATACATGAACACTATGGTCATATATATTGGACCCCATTGTTTTTTCATATCCTTAACTTGGTCTTGAAAGCCATTAGAAAAATGCCTCATGTTAGGAGTCTTGCATATCGAGCTCCCAAGATCTCTAATTGTTTTTTTTTTACAATCATGGTCCACTTTATTTTCGGTTGAATACAAGGGGAAACTAAAAAGAAATGGCGAGGCCTTGTTCTACCAGCTTTGCAACTACATTTCTGAATTTGCAAAGTATTATTGAGCTCGTGGATGATTTGGAGGCTCTAGTGATGAGTGAGTTCTTTAGAGATAGTGATCTCAAGTATCCAGGTATGAAAGAATGTGAAGTCGATTGTACAAGATTAACAGTTTTGGATTGATTGTGACTTCATTTTTTTAGATGAAAGTGACTTTTATCAAAACCCCAATACACTAGATGTGTATTCTTAATTGGGAGCAAAAAGATACAGGCAAAGAGATGATTTACAATGCCCTCCAAGAACTAATGAGAAGCAATCAGATAGTCGACCTGCAATGGTGTATGTACGTGATTGGATGATTAGAGTGTCAAAAATTGTGATTGCTACTTGTGGAAACAAGATGGAGAAACACAAACTTTACACGGACATCATTGAAAGGAGATGGGATAAACATATGTGGGGTGATTTTTGTTTGCGAAAACATACTTTATCAATCCAACTTTCATGTAATTCTGATGATTTTGATGATTTAAGGCAGTTAGAAATGACATTCTTGATCTTCTTAATAACTTAGATGATGTCCTGATACAAATGTGCTGGTGGATGAGATGAACTTGTGTGCTGAACTTTCAGGGGTCTTTTTGCAATGGATTCTAAACAAAAACAACTAGGTAATTAATATTATGTGCACTAAAGTGTTTTTTTTATAGAAAAATCGAAGTTCTTCTATTTGTTACAATATGTAAGAAACTAACATGCATGCTTAATATTTAGATAAGTGGTAGAAATGGTTTGACATTGATACTCAAAATCTTCAGAAGTTGGCTAGTCAAATCCTTAGCCAAACTGCTTCTGCTTGTGAATGTAAACATGAGGGTTTTAACGTGTGCACACCAAGAGAATAAACAGATTACAACACAAAATGTTTAGTGACTTGGTATGATTGCGCAGTAGGTATGGTTGGATATTATTCAATATCTATGTGATTTGAATTTGTAATTACTGAATTGGATCATTTGTTGCCTTTATACTTTGATTATGGAGTATTATATCAAGAAGAACAAAGATTCTTATGATCCCATAAGCCTTGAAAGCACTGAAATAATGAGCTAGATCGAGCATTAAAAGTGGAAGGTTTGTGTGTGAATTAATTATGTTTAATATGTATTCTAAACTTCTAATACTAATAATTGATAGTGATTCTTACTTGTTTTATCTTGTATTGTAGTTGGTGATGAAGAAGATGAAGGTAATGAGTTCCAAAATGAATATTATCTATCTTTGGAGTTGTTTGAAGATATGGATTTGATTGAAGTTTAATATCAAAGTAGTAGTTTCTAGTCTGAGTTTGGCACTTGTGGTTTGTCAATGTGTTTGGTTGTTCTATACTAATTTCTAAACATGCATTTCGATGATGATGTGGTTCATTAGATATTGTAATGTGGTACTATGTTACCTATCACTATTTAATATTTTACAACATGTTATCCGGTAATTCCAGAATGGTACCATGTTCTTTACTGTACGGTATTTTAACGAAAAAACTTTAATCACAAAAAAGATATATTATCGGTACAAAATAATTGATTCACGCTCGTACCACAGAATACTCTTCGTAAATTACTCTGGTATGACTTCTGATATAATTTGGTAAACCTTGGTTAAACGCATGAAAGTGATTAGTTGGAGGTTGAAAATTATGGAGGAATATGTTTATAATTATAAGGAATTATTCTCATAAACACTGAGTCAATGCTTAATCACCGTATTCAGTCAATTGGTAGGTCTCAATTTGACAGAGATTAACCTACTTTGAACGAGAAGGGATATTAGAAAAACTTTCGTATTTCAAGGATTATGTCAGGAAAAGAAATAATTCAGGGACAATGATAGAAAAAAGCTTATAGTTCAGGATGAAAATGACTATTAGCACATATAAAAACAACCAAGCGACACAATAAAAATGAGAATTATACTCATATCGTACAACAAAAAGAATTACTAACTAGACCTGGGTATAAGACTCGGTCTAAACCTTTTCGAGCCAAAGAACTATAATCCAACAATAATGAGTTGTTTGAAAGTTGCGATTGTTAAATAAATGTATTTTTTTTGAATATATGTATAAAATTATACATGTATTGATGAATTTAATGCATTATAAAATACATCGTTTGATATGTGTGATTGTGTATGTCACATCAGCTACAAATTAAGATAAAACAATCTCAACTCAATAATCTCAGTTAAAAGATGAGATATAACAATCCGTGTATTATGTCTACTAAAAAAATAAAAAAACAATGCATTCTAAATAAGACAAATATGGTAACAATCTAACAAAATAATCGCAACTCCCAAACGAAACATGAATATACTTGAATCAAGAAATATGGTCGACCCGTTCCATTTCATATGTCACTCACAAAATAATGAAATCACTCATAAATTAGTGAGAGTTTTAGAAAACTTTACAAGGATTTGAAAGACATGTTTGGAATTTAATAATCAAATATCATATGTTTTCTGTAGTAGTATTACTTTTGTGATTGTTATTTGACGATTTATGCAATTTGTATTTCATTTCATTAGCATGGGAGGAATATTTGAGAATATTTTAATTGACATATGTTACTTAGGTAAACTATTACCATGCATATGTGAAAATTTTTGTTCTTAAAAAAAATATGAAGTATATTTGATATAGTTTCTGAGAACGCTCATAACCCGTAACCCGACCCAAACCCCAATAGGCTGGGTTAATATTTGACCCGAAATCAACCAATCCGATATGACTCGACCCGTAACCAGAGACCCCAACCCGATCCGGTTGCCGGGTCTAGTAGTAGCAGAAAGCAGATCCAAATGCTGCTGCTGCTATATTGCAAGCATACGAGACCGAGCTAATTAAGTTGCCTTCTGCCACGCCAATTTGGTCAGAACATTGGGCGAATTCATGGCTTTTAGCGATGAATGTCACTGTTGCTAAAAAAAAATGTCGATTTTTGTAAGTGAGGTATGACCGACATGTATACTTGTTGAGCTAACTATTTAGGTTATTAAGCCAATTCTTGTTTTTTGATCCATAAAATGGTTTTTATTAATGAGAAGAAATTGTTAACAACATCCGGTTTCAGCTGATCAAACAAATCGGAGGTATGTCAAAATCAAATCATATACTTCCGTCTCAATATTCCCAACTTTTGTCCTAAAATGTGCCAGCTGATTCACTCGCCTTTCTGCTCACATGTTTGTTTCCACTATCTCCATCTCCAACCTCTCGTAGCAGTTTCCGCACGTTTCCTACTTCGGTTAGATAGAACCGTAGCTGCTGCCTTGGTCAACTTTCCGACCGAGCTGGTTTTGTCGTACCAATTGGAGGCCGAATTCGGCTGCTTATTATTATTATGCTTCACCCGTCTCCCATTCCCGTCACAAATGATCTTTCTGACGGCATCGTGTCGTTGCTATATATCTCTGGTCCAAATACTAGCATCAATATATCATTAATAAAGTTTTTATGACTAGGTACGTAGCAGCATGTTTATTTTGATGACAGATTACCAACCAGAACTTGGATAATTAACATAAAAACGGTAACATATGTTTAGCATTTATACAAAAAAAAAAAAAAATTTGGTGGCTAATGAAACTCAATTTATTATCTTTCATATGAACGAGATTTCACTCAGTTCTATTGCAAACATTGATTATTTTGGTGTTTCATTTCCTTCTATTTGGCTTACCATATATTTGAACCCCTCCAAAAACATTTATTTTTTTCTTTTGAAAATCCAAATAGGGTGGCAAATGAGCCGAATCGAGCCGAGTTTTACCTCAGCTTGAGTTTGGCTAGTTAATGAACGAGTTGAGCTCGAGTTCGACTTGTTTATTAACGAGCCGAGCCGAGCCAAGTCGAGTTTGAGCGAGTTTGCTTAGTAAAATCTTGACTCGTATTTGATTTTGTATGTTATGCATGATATATATACGTGTGATTCATGTCAAGATGAAAAAATTAACCTTTTGTTTAAACTCGCTTTATATTTTGTTTTTAGTTTGTCTAAGTGTTTTATGTGTTTCAGGTACGTTACTTGGCACTAAAATTTATTCCAATTGGCTCAATGGAAATGGGCAAATCAAGGCATGTTTTGAAGTTGGGAAGTTGCTCTACAAAATCAATTTTGGCTTTCCAATTTAAGTTACTCTCGTCTCTCATCTAATCTCTTGTGATATTCATAACACCAAATAGCAAACACCAGTATTAGTCGTCATTTCAGCCTCCAATTCGTCGAATTAAAGATTAACGATGACAAGAACTTGAGATGCCACCTCTCCTCCTTTAATCTTATTCATGTCCTAGCTCTAGGCAATTTAAATAATTTCGTATTCGATAACACCGATTGGGATACCGAAATACCAATCGGGATACCAAAATATTTAGGGATCGGGATAACAATTTTCTTATAAAAAAACACCAATTAACAACAAATAGCTAGTGTCATATATATATATGGCAGTATATATTATCATTGTCGCCGATAATTTCCTTTCGGAGGCTAATAGATATCTTAAGTGCCTCCAGTATGTGTCGCTACATCTCATTTTTCCTATAGTGACAATATATACGTATCGTGTGGTTTTTCCCTTCCTCCCCTTCCTGGCTCCTCCAAATCTGTGATGGATCACTATATATACAGCTTCTCCTTGCACCTAATTCTTGTTCATCAATTCTTTCTTTTCTCTCCATCAGTTTTCCTAGCTTCTTCATTCTCTCCATCTGCTCCAAGTTAAATATTAGCTAGCTACGTACCCATGAACACTACTACTTCGGATTCCAACCTCTGGACAGTCCGTGACAGTGGCCAGCCGCTGTTGGTCATGGCGGCGCTTCTCGCCGTGGTGGTCATTGTGGTCGGTATGGCGTACATTACGCGGTGCGTCCGCGCTCAGATGGAGGGAAATGATCCGCCTCAGCCGCCACAGCCGCCTCAGCCGCAGCCTCCCATACTTCCCCTTGTGAGACCGCCGCTGCCCCCCACCCGGAAGTTCTCGGAGGACGACGAGCCGGCGGAGTGCTCCATTTGCCTGGAAGAGTTCGAGGCAGGCGTGGACGTCCGGAGGCTGGGGACATGTGGGCACCTCTTCCACTTGATCTGCATAGATCAGTGGCTTGAAGGTCAGGCAACATGCCCATTGTGCAGAGGGAGTGTGGTTTGATTCATAGAGTGATCTGTTTGTATGCTTAATTGTTTGTCTACGTTCAGTGTTGTAATGAATAAAAGTTCTAAACATATATATAATGATGATAATAATAATTAATATATGTGTTACTACTATCATTCTATGTTGAATTGGGATTCGTTTTGAAGTTCTATTCGGTATTCGGATAACGGGATTGGGATCGGGAAATACCGAGAAACAAAAAAAATTAATGAAATATAGCACACAAATTTTGGTCATTCCCCCACTCTTTCATAACTGACAATGATGAGTCCCAAGCTAGGCCTTTAATCAGAATTACGAAGCTCGAATCAAATCGTGGGGTATGGTTGTTTTCGAAGGAAAAACATAGGGTGTTTTGGTGAAGGGGATAAACCAAACTAGCAACTTTAACACAAGGGAAAGAGACTGGTTTTGGGTATAATAACACCACGAGATCGATGATGGGAAGTCGATCTCTAGGTCTGCAAGTCTGGGATGAAAATCCAAGACCAAACTCAAGCAATCAAGCTCAAGGGAACTCCTCGGAGTATAGGTTTATTTCAATCAACTTAAAACGTGAATTACAACTCAAAGCAAGAGATATTTATAGCCAACTAAACCTAATTACAATCCTAAGAGAACAAGGGAAGAAACAAACAAAAATCCAACTCAATCAAGGTAACAAATCGGCCCAAACTTCCTTTTCTTCAAGCACAAGTAAACTGCCTTGTTGCACAGTCAAGCTGCTGGAAATCAGGCTTCGTAGCATCTTCAAGCTCTTCATTGGAAGCCTTCCAGGTAAGCTTTACTTCAGCCAATTCCCTGTCTCTGTAGAGTAACAAACGTACTCTCATGTGGTGTGAAGCCCTGAACTCGATTCCCATCCCTGCTCCTCTGGTTGAGCTCCAAAGTAGGTAGCTGGAATACCTTTCCTGCCTTAGCCAAAAACAAGCAGTTTTCAGATTGCAGGATAGGGTTTTGAGCAGCTTGAAATCCAACCCTCCTGGCTTCCTTTCCACAATCCAAGTGCTCCAAGTTGTAGAGAAACACACAAGCTTCAAAACAAGCCATTGACCTTGCATTTTCAGAAGACCAATTGAGAGAACCAAGCCTCCAAAGTGGGGTTCCCAAAACTGTTCCAACACTTAGAAAATTTCCAGCTTTGTTCTTGTTAACTTGAATCGATCTTTGAACGATTAATTGGAACTTGAAACCTGTCCGAATTGTGATCATATCACACAAGTCCCAATCAAACTCAATTTTTGCTTTCCATTTTAAGTCACTCTCGTCTCTCATCTGATCTCTTGTTATTTTCATAACATAAAAAATATAATTCTAGTATTAGTCATCTCTCAATCTCCAATTTGTCGAATTAAAGATTACCAATGACCAAGAACTTGAGTTGCCACCTCTCCTCTCCTCTCTTCTCCCTATCCATATCCTAGCTCTAGCTCTAACCAAACTCAAGACTCTTTTCTTAGTCTCTTTGCCTAAATTAAACAATCAAATCTAATTTATATATTTAATTTGGTAATTATTTTTTTATTCGATGATACCAATTGGGATACCGAAATACCGATTGAGATACCGAAATACCGACCGGGATACCGAAATATTTAGGGATTGGGACCTAGTTTTACAACCAAACTAGAATTACAACCCTGATGGCTACGATGGCTCCATGCTCTTGTTGTCTTGAGACCGCTACCACCTTGATTGTATGGGAGAGGTCCCTCCATGCTGAACTTCTGCCACTTGGTACCCATCTTGAATGGATGAGAACTTAACCCCTTTACCCACTAAGACTCCATGCTTAGTATTGGAGGGCTTGGTTTCATCTTATCGACTTACCGCTTAGCTAACTTGCCACCAAGTCCTACTCGTCAACTTATTATTTCCTACCAGGCCCGTCTCATTGGCTTGGTACCTTCCGGCTTGCCGCCAAGCTCATGTGATTCACATGACACCTTTCATCTCGGCGGCTTAATACCCCCTGCTACCAAGCCAACCCTTACAACTTGGTCTCCATACTTAGTTTCTGTAATCTCATCAAGTTGGTACCATGCCGCCTTGTCGGCTTGGTACCCTGTTGGGGGGCCACCGTGCCCATATTAACAACTTAGTTAGTATCCATATGACCCCCTAAGGGCTCTACACCAAATCCTCATCAACTTGGTACCTTGGCTGACAAGTCTCCACCGTCGAGGTTCCACTCTTGTCTTGACAGTAATCACAACCACCTCAGGTGGCCACCTTATCACCTCCTCATCAGGTTGGCACCCTGCTAGTTTGATCTCTATGGTTGGTTTTGAGAGGTTTGGTAACTTGATATCAAACCTATCTTGTCGGCTTGGTACCCTCTTGGTTGGCTACCAAGGTCGTTTTGACGAGGTATCCAAACTTAATTTATATATGGCTCTCTAGTTGGTACACATCTTGGTACCTTCTTGCCTGACTACCAAGCCTATCTTTTGTTAGGTTGTTTTTGACATGTCATATTATAGATTTACTCACTTTTTATTATGACGAGGATGATTACCTTCTAAAACTAGGTTGGACTCGACCAGTTGGCCGTAGTATTTTTAGGTCATTTAGTAAGTTACCTCGAATTTGGGTATTTAGTAGTGATTATCACTTCAAATTATTTATTAACCTTATACATCCTCATAATCAAATAATTTATATCTTAATCATAATTTATGATGAAGTTCTTGACCATGATATTTCACGCTATTAGAAAAGTCACATTTGTTTTATGTAATAAATTGAGGTTCCTCACCACTACTCGTCTATGGTACCACAATTGGGATGGCAATGGGGCGGGTTTGTCTAAACCATCCCCATGCTCGCTTTCAAATATCCAAAATCATACTCGCCCCATACTCATGCGGGGAAGATTTTGCATACCCATCCCCATATCCGTGGGTTTCGGGTACCCGTGGGTAATACCCGCCTCGTACATCCAACATTATAATACCTAAAATTATACAGGTAACTTTTCAATTATACACTAAACGCACCTACTATATCATGAAGTCAACAAAGAGACAATCATTTTTAATACGATTCAAAGCATCTTATTCTAAAACATCCATGCATTAATCTGTAAGATAGAGAAACAATATAAGCAAAATCATTATTCTCTACCTTTGATACATCTATTAAATAATAACTAACTAGCATGATCTTGTTAACATAAGGGAAAAAGTGAAAGAGTTAGAAGGAAAATAATTATGTAGTGTTGATTTGAGTGATCACTCAATGGCATTTCTATTCTTTATTTTTCGAGTTACCCTCGTTATCAATGGTAGATTATAATATAATCTGTGTATTTTTTATATGTAAAGAAATGCTCTTGATGGGGCGGGTATGTGTATGGGTGTGGGGTAGGGGAGGCTAAAACCATACCCGTCCCATACCCATCAACATTTTGCGGGTTTTACCCATACCAGTCAATGCGAGAATTCCCCGCGTTAACTGGATGAGGGCGGTTGGGTACCCGCGGCCATGGATTTGATTGTCATTCCTATACCACAATACTTTACCAGTTTACCTACTATGATATCTTTTGGCAAAGTATATAGTAGAAGATTGGAGATATTATGGAAATGAATAAGCCATGCGTTAGATGACTACAACATTATAATTTGGTTTGGTTTCTTCAATTGAATTGAAATACTCAATTAACCAAATCCAAGATCCACGAAAATGGTAATATAACCATATCACTATCAAATTCGGTTAACCATTTTCGCCATCAAACCTGATGAATTCTTGGTTTTGAAATATGATTGACTACTTGACGGCGGTCTAGTATCAATGACCAAAATCCATACTTGCTAGCATAAAAAAATTTTAATACCAAAAGCCGGTTTAGTATCAATGACCAAAATCCATCATAAATTATTTTCTTGATTTATGGTTCAATGATAATTTAGAAAAGTAGTTATTATATTACGATCAATAAAGATTGATATTCATTTATGATTTTGCATTACATCAATTCAAATTATATGTTGTTAAGGTTAGTCTATATAGCAATCCAACCCCTAAATAACTTATTCTTTTTGTTTATAATGATTTTTTATTCTACCAATTAAATAAAATGATACACGGCTAAATAATAAAAACTATAAAACCAACCTCGTGCCATTGCCTATCTAGTAATATATAATCACCAAGACAGTTGATCAAAACAAAAACCAAACAAAATGTTTAGAATATTGAACAAATTACCAACTTATTACAAACCCGATCCAAAATTCTCTCTCACATGAAATGAGAGAAAGACAACAGCCTTGATGTTTGAAAAAAATCCGAAGAAACTACATAACTTATTTTTGAAACCCAAATCTAATGTTATCCTTTTTCATTAGGCTCATGTCTTCCATCCATAACAAATGTCATATGCATGAGCTGCCGGGTCAAAAAAACATGGTCCACTCTCCTTAACGATCCATTGGCAATGTGCACAACGCTCATAATCCCTCTTCCAAATGTAGATGTCAAACCGATGAATCTTTCCGTCTCCCCATTGCATGGTACAATAGAATTGTGTGGTGTGCCAAAAGTTTGGACGGAATTTCCATTTAAAGCCATTGCCTGGCTTTAGCACTCGGAGCCCGAGATCATCGTCTCCGGATTTGCAATGAAGTTTCAATTCCTGCCCTCCTTCTAGCTCATTCCACACCACCACATATGTTTTTACATACCCTGGATCCCACCAAAAGGGAGTCCCCTTGCTCAAATAAATTTCTAGGGTTAATACTAGAAAGGCAACAAAAAAATAATTTCTCATCCACATTGTTGTTTCTATGTTTAATTAATCACTCCATATGAGACCTTGAGTTTGCCTACTTATAGGTGAAGATCAATGCATGTGAGCAAGTTTGTTGTTGCATTACAGAATCTACCGTAACTTCTTTTCCATTAATCTAGGAATAAGATGAATTGGTCGGAAGTGGTAATATTTTTTTTTTGTGTAAACAATGCGCTTAGCACGCATCGGAAGTGGTAATATAATTATTGGATTTAAATAGAAGCGTTATTTTTGCAGAGAATTTCGGAAAATTTGAGCATTCAAGTATACAACTATTTCCTCTAATCATAAAATTAATAATAAAACTAATGATCATAAACTATTTAAGGTGATAAGGTAATTCATGTAATAATGTGCCAATGTGGGGCTGATAAATGTACATAAGACATTACTTTTTCTGTTTTTCACTTTCATATGGGACTTGGTAAACTAATTCTACTATATAACGACCATCAAATTATTATATATATATATGGGTCAGACTGGTGTACGTCAGGCGTATACTATACGTCAGGTACTACTAGTGAGATATCTATATCTAGACCATGAATTAAATCGAGTTTGGGGTATGATACTATACCCTAACCTCTAATGGATAAACCCCAGGCACCGATTTTCTAAACCCCAACCTGAAGTTTGATTTAATGAAAAACAAAAATTGACCGTTGAGATCGACCGGAGCTCATCTAAGTACATCTAACGGCTAGATCACCTGACGTATAGTATACGCCTGACGTACACCAGTCATCACCATATATATATATTTGCATTACTAGGAGGCCGAGGCCGAGAACAAGAAGGAGGTTACAGGGGATTAAGAGGAGGGAGGAGCTCGAACCGCAACGCGGCGTTCGAAAGTAGTGCCAAGGGCATCATCTCTAAGCAAACTTACTAGTCCGGGAGGAGGATTAGCAAGCTCATGGACACCGTAGGGATAGACGAGACTGTGCTTTGAGAGCCAGTCCGCGACTCTATTCCCTTCTCGATAAACATGAGTGATGCTGACTCCTCATGTGTCGGTTGATGAGCGTGACAATGGTTCATGGCAGGGCGTACTCGGAGGTGTGGGATAATTATGAAGGACCACGAAATAGAGCTCACACACCATATCCTACAAACCCCAAATTATAGCTTGAGAAATTCAATCCTAGGCAACCATCTCACTCCCAGCGATCTTCCAACCACTTGGTTTGTTGTTTTTGTCATCGTTTAGGAAGTTAGATTAGGCTAGTTCTACCTTCAAACTTTGTTAGGCTAGATAGTAAATTCGTTCTTTCTGAAATAACAGTAGATCCATGGACCCGTGGAATCCGACCTCGTGAGTCAACCCTTTACTACATCACCGATCTAGATTATACATGACTTAGATTGGAGTAGCACCAGTTGATAATCGAGTTTTAACTTGGTTCCCATCACTTTGAAATGTCGTAAGTCATTGCCCGGCAAATTGTCTCAAGCCCATGATGAACTAGTTGGTCCATAACACTCAGCTCATCTTTGTCTCGGGCCAGCATATCACGGGATAGGTTGCGTTGCTAACCCTATAAGAGCATCCACATTGGTATTGCATTCTCAATTGCAAAATGACATGATATAGGTGTTTGCAATTGCAAAACCAATTGCATTGATGTGGCTACCAATTGCATATTTGCAAACTTGCAACAAATGCAATACCATATGCAAGTAAAAAAAGCCTAAAAAAACGGGAATTTTTTTTATTTTCTTTTATATTATTTTATTTTCTCTTTTACTTAATTTTCTATAATTTTTAAACATAATATTTAGTTACATTTGCAATTTCAAGTTAATTGCATTGATGTAGATGAATGAAATGAATGTGATGTGGATTGCAAAAAATTTGAGTTGACAATAAAAAATACAAATGCAATTGCATTGATGGAGATGCTCTAATTCATTAGCACGGTACTAACTCGGGCTTATCATCGTCCATTCACTATTTCTTTAATCCAACGTTAGTTTAGCTGCCAAGGGTGTTTTGGGTAAGTATGTAGCCGATTCCAACCATAGAGAACAAACGTGTACGAGTTTTTAGGGTGGAATTAATAAATAGATATTTCCGTTTCTTTTTCTTCTCCGATCTCCTCGATCTGCACATTCTCTTTCCAAGCAGTTTGATTCTCCAATCGCTGCTCCCATCATTGCAATCGTCGTCGTCGTGAGCCTCTTGTCGTTGCCGCTGCTATTCCGAATCCTTGTTATGCTTTGCCATGGCTCCCACGTGCAAGTTCGCAGGCGCAGATACAGTAGTAGCTTTGAACGCTAGATTAGGATTTTGTGGTCTAGCTTTTTTGTTTTATTCGTTTGATGTCTTAGCAATTTTGATTATACTAATAACCTTATATAAGGTGGTACGGTAGTGGTAGTATTGTTTTGAGTAAATTTTTTAGTTGTGGCCTCGAGAAATCATAAGGACGTACGACTGCAAGAAAGGAGATTGCGGAGTGGTGTTGTTTTGATCAAAGACGAAAACAGTGGAGAATTCTTCGTAGTAGTGGTTCTGTAATAGTAGTATAGTGATTTCATAGCAGCGATTTATAGATATGATAGTAGTAGCAGTGATTCTTTAGTAGTGATTTTATGGATCCTATAATTACATGTCTGATTGCAGTATAGTCTTTTGTTATGTATTAGTAGTAATTCGTGTTACTTTTTTTTGGTGAAAAAGGTGCAAGCACCTCGGCCTCAATTACTTAACTATGCGGACAACAAATCCGCCAACAGAGTCATACAAAAGCCAGCGGTCAACATCCGGGCTACTAATACTGAAAGAGATAGATCCTGGGTCTAACAAGTGACCCTGGTGAGCAAGGCAGTCGGCTAAGAAGTTAGCCTCCCTATAGATGTGGCGAACTACAACCTCCCAGTCTCTCCGAACCAGTTCACGAAACTCTAGAACTAGGCTCGCATGCTGGTGGGTCGTCGGTGCTTCCCGGGATAGAAGCTGAACTGCAGTAGTGGAATCCAGCTGGAGCTCAACTCTACGATGACCTGTATCCCAGGCCATATGAAGCCCTCGGATGGCGCCCCAGATTTCTGCTCGAGTAATGGTACATCTTCCTAGATTCATTGAAAAACCCCCCAGTAAGCGACCCTGCCAGTCTCTAAGTGCGCCCCCTGCAGCGGTAGACCCTGATGGTCTCAGGAGAGAGCCGTCAGAGTTCATTGTGATCCATCCTGTCGGAGCCGGTCTCCACCCAACAGCCATGTCTCGACTCGACTCCGACCTCCCCAGTGAAATAACTTGGTCCGCTGCTTTACTTTTCTGCGCCGCGACCTCCCAGGCGAGGATCTTTTGCGTCAACTTACTAGGGGATTCCTCAATGGCTGAAAAGACATAATCATTTCTCGAGCGCCATAAGAACCAGCACGTGAGGCCGAACCGTACTTGGTGGTCATGGCTGCGCAGAAGGTCCATGAACCAGGTCTTCATGTCCCTTCGGTCCGAAGCTCGAACTGCCGCTGGGAGCACCTGTTGCCACACTTGTTTCGCGTAGCTGCACGTACGGAGGGTGTGCTCAATAGTCTCCGTCCCCAACTTGCATCGAGGATAGGTATTGGAAGTTGCTAGGTGGCGCCTCTGTCTCTCGGAATTGGTGAGGAGAGAGCCATGCGCCGCGAGCCACAGGAAGTGTCTGACCCTGTTGTGGCCTGGCCATCTCCACACGTCCCGCCATCCCGGTTCCTCGCCGTCTCTGTCCACCTCTGCAACAAGTTGATAGGCTGAACGAATGGTGAAATTTCCTTTTTCTTCCAGGCCCCAAACTATGGCATCATCTCCCAGATTAGGTTTCGGTGGAGGGGTCCCTACAACCTGCAAAACAAAATCACGGGGTAAGAACTGTTCAATAAGGGGCAAATTCCACTCACCTTCAGGGGTGGTCATGTCGGCTACTGTTGCTTCACTTTGGAAGCCTGGCTTTGTTGTCCAAGCATTTTCCACAAGCGCCATGCCGTTATCCAACCACTTATCCTGCCAAAACATAGTTGTCCTTCCATCCTGAACACTCCAGCTAACTCCTTCAAGCATCAACCCCCAAACCCGCCGAACACCTCTCCACAGCTGCGAGCATCGCGTCTTCCGTCTTAGCTCGACCCCGTTGTGGCCCTCCTTGAGATATTTCTCCTTCACCACTCGGACCCATAATTCATCCGGTTGCTTGAGGATGGACCAGGCTAGCTTTAGGAAATAGGCCGTGTTCAGTTCCCTAGCCATCCGCAAGCCCAACCCTCCCTGTTTCTTTGGAAGACACATAGTTTCCCAATTCACAAGGTGTATCCGACGCCTTCCCTGCTGCGATCCCCACACAAAAGCTCTTATTTTGCGATCAATGTAGTCGCTAATCCCCACAGGAAGGACCGCTGTCTGCATAACGTAGGAGGGAATCGCGTTGAGGACGGACAAAGCTAGAGTGACCCGACCTGCCAATGAGAGACTCTCCGCTCGCCAGCCCGCCAACCTCTGGTCCACTCTATCGATTATATATTGGTATGTCTGTTTGGTTACTCTGCCATGTAGGACGGGAACGCCCAGATAGCGTCCCAGATCCTGTGTCATAGGGATAGCCAGCCGGTCACTGATCTCTTTGCATAAAGTGCGATCCATGCATTTGGAGAAGAACACTCGCGACTTCTCTCGACTAACAAGCTCCCCTGATCCTTGGCAAAACGCGTTTATGCACTGCACCACAACATCTCCTTGTTCCACACTAGCCTCCGCGAATAGAACGAGATCGTCCGCGAAGAAAAGATGTGAGAGCTCTACTCCCCCTCTAACCAGTTGGATTGGCTTCCACTTCTTTCCTGCAACCAGCTCAACAATCATGTGGGATAAGCGCTCTATACACAAGGTAAAGATGTAGGGTGATAAGGGGCATCCCTGGCGGAGTCCTCTCGTCGGACGGAACGAGTCAGTGCAGGTCCCATCCCATAGTACCTCGAAGGATGGCGAGGCTATACAAGCCATAATCGCCTGACTAAACTTATCAGGTAATCCCGCCGCCACTAGAGTACTCGCCACAAAACTCCAGTCCAGACGGTCATATGCTTTAGCTAGGTCAATCTTGAGAGCCATGTGACCACGCTTCGCCTTCCGAGTTTGCATCGTATGCACTACTTCTTGTAGGGTGATAATGTTGCTTTGGATACTCCGTCCCGGAACAAAGCTAGTCTGAGTGGGTTTGACCAACTGTGGCATCAAGGGCTTCAATCTATTCGCCAGGCACTTCGTGAATGCTTTGTATGACACATTGCACAGGCTGATGGGTTGGAATTCAGCCACTACCGAGGGGCTCTGATTTTTCGGGATTAACGTGATCAAAGTTTCGTTCACCGAGGCTACCAGACCGGGGTTTCTGAAGCATTGGAGGAGGAACTCCGATAGCGGCCCTCCCACCTTGCTCCAGCACCGCTGGAAGAACAGAGGATGGTATCCGTCCTTTCCCGGTGCTTTATGGGGTCCCATCGACTTGATCGCAGCAAGC